GCTGTGGAGGTCAGAAGAGGGCTTCAGATTCCCCTGGAACTGGAGTTAAGGACAGTTCATAGCCACCATGTGGGTGCTGGGAATCGAACCTGGGTCCTCTGCAAGAGCAGTCAGTGCTCTTAACCACTGAGCCACCTCTCCAGCCGCCCCCCGGCCCCCTGTGAACTCTTAAATGGGGAAAGAATGTTTTAATCATCTTTTTAAAATCCTTTCATGCAACTAAGTAAAAAAACCGTACTTTTCTATGAATTCTCATGATGTCCCTCAACCTTTCTATTTTTATGCTTCAAAGTGTATAAAGCCAAGGCATTCAGAAACAAAGAACATGGTGACCAGAGATTCACTGAGCCAAAGAGTTTGTTTTGTTCACATACTTGATAATCTCTCCATATTCATCCCATTTAATTCTTTCTTCTGGGGCAGGAAACATAGGGTAAGACTTTTTGGCCTGTTTGAAGAAACTTCCTTTCCGGCTGCCTTCACCTTTCATCATCAGATCGTGCTTTGTCTTATGAGCTGAGGGCTGGTCGATGTCTTCCTCAACATCACTCTCATCGCTGGAGTCGATATCTGCCCTGGGAGGATTGGGAACACAACAAGGTCAAAAGTCCCAAGACACTCTGACTTAATATTTATGATTATTACTGAATTAATCTCAAACGTTAATTTAGTATTAATCCAAGTCATAATATAGTAACAATCAATACTACTGGCTCAGTATTTTGTAAAAACAGCATCAACTTTCAGTTAATAAATGAATATTAGCACTAAAAGGGCTTTATTTTAGCCATTTAAAGGTATAACAAAAGCAATAAAGTCCTGAAAACATTTGAATATTTCAGCTGAATGCTGAAGTCCGAGAAATACACCCTTTCCACATCTGTGCATAATCTCTATGACAACAACTCACTCTTTTGACTGCTCCAGTTTCTTAGCAGCTTCTTTCTTCAGTTTTTCTTTTTCTAAGTATTCCTCAAGTTCTTTCCCTTCAAGCTTCACACGTTTCCTCAACTAATGGAAAACAGTAGACAAAAGAAAATGGTGAGGTGAGGAGGTGGGGCCACACGGCATCTCCAAACTGATTCATCATCTTTAAGCTAAATTTTCATCTGAAGTTAATCAAGCTTCCAATAAATGAAATTATAGATCTTATTTAGATTACTTCTAAAATTGAGCTGCCATATACGGGGAGGAGGATTTAAATCAAAGTGCTTAAAATACACCAGTCAATCAGGAGAAGGAAACAAATAAGTATTTTTATAATTTGGAGATGAAGCCACATAAAGCCTCAAAGCCATAAAGTCATGATGGAAAAATGAAGAAATACACATGAAAAAAATAAACCTGTTTTTTGTTTTGTCTTTTTGAGACAGGGTCTCCCTGTAGCGCCAGCAGTCCTGGAACTCACCATGTAGACCAGGCTGGCCTTGAACTCACAGAGATCCGCCTGCCTCTGCCTCCCAAGTGCTGGGACTACAGGCATGCGCCACCACTCCCAGCAAACCTGATATTTTAAATCTCACAAAATTAAAAGAGCAGAAAATATTGATCATATTACAGTCAGAAGCTACCTCTTCCTAAGAACTCTTCCAAACGAAGAAAAAGATGACACATCAAAAAAGGACAAAATATGTACAATATGGCAATTTACAAAATTAGAAAGAAGAGTGATTCAGTCAAAAAAAGATATATTTACCAATGACTTTGAAATGGCAAAATATAAAAGCTAATACTTTTTTTTTTAATTTACAAGATTGGCTTTAGCCATCCCTGAGAAATTAGCAAAACTATGTTAGAAAGCAATTTGCTACCACCTAAAACTGAAAAGCATGCTTGTCTGTTGACATAGTTCTCATTTCTAGGAATTTATCCTATAGAAACAATCACAGCAATGTAAAAAAAAAAAAAAGTACATGGTAGGAATGTTTATAACAGTAAAAACCTGGGTAAAATCTTAAAATACATCAATACATAAAAGAATAAGAGCTACTAATTTATCACCAAAGTACTTTAAAAACTAGAAAAACCAGGCCAGGCATGGTAGTGCACATCTATATCCCAGCACTTCGGAGGCAGAGGCAGGCAGATGTCTGTAAGTTCAAGGCCAGCCTGGTCTACATAGTAAGTTCCAGGCCAGCTGGGGCTACAGGGAGACCCTGTTTCAAAAAGACCAAAAAAAAGGTAGGATGATTCACTGGGTTAAGGCACTTGCTGCACAGGCCAGATGACCTGAGTTCCAGTCCCAAAACCACTATGGAAGGAAGAGAACTCCAGAGAGTTGTCTTGACTTCTACATGCACGTTGGTATGTGTGTGCCATACTCACACATACACAACAATAATTAAAGAACCTCAAAGAACTGTTTTTATAGGTTATATTTATCAATATTTACCATATTAGAAACTAAATTTTAAAATGTCATTACTAAAAACTAGTAAAGCCATGCATGTTCACAATATTTT